TTACACAAAGACAGGCTGCAGACCACTACATCCTTGATTACAACATGCTCTGCTTTGGCTGTTTAGGACAGGGTCACTGCATGTATGAACGTTAGTAGGATGCCCACAGATGCAAACTCACATCTCTACCTCCACACACCTTGCTTGCTGCTGAGTCCTTCCAGCCTGTCTTTCCATCATGCTGCCTGTTTCAGTGGTGTGCACAGGGTTGATCTTAACTTGAAGGTCAATTCTATAGGTCAACTCGTACAAATTTCATAGTAATTTCATTCCTAGCCTCATCCAGTCTGTGTAGGAAAAGGTTGCATCCCTAAATCTATGGCCCCATAATGCAGCTACAAATTCCTCAGACACGTTCTTGTAAAATTTGGGGTTTCACACAAAAACAGGCATTTCCTTTATTGTCCTACCCCAGTTTATGCTTCTGTAAGGCAACCCCAATGCAGCTTTCATTCTAATAGTTTGCTTTCATTTTGCCGACAACTGGCACCAAAATCTCATGCTGTGGCTGTGAATATGAGCTGCTTGGTGACAACAAGATTTTGTTTTGCTGACAATTTTGCCACAGGTTGGTGTGATTCTGACCATCTCCACTTTGTCAGCTTTTGCATGCTGCTTTTCCACATACAACATGTTACGAACAGCATCAGTGCCTGTATAAATACATAACGTGACCTCTGCAGCACTGACAGAAACCCAAAGCAACACCAGCATGCCAGGATACAATACTATCATTTGATTACCAAGGAGCCATGAAATCCAAGATTTGTTGAACCTACAAAAGCAACACTAGAAAGTTGCGAGTGAAAGGCCTGAATTTCAGGGCTTTGTAAATAAAGTTGGAAGAGAAAACCTCTTTGAAGGAAGAGCACTGAAAGTTTAGCATCTTTTCATAGTTTGAAATATTAGCATTATCATAAATGTGCTGTCATATTTTCCATAAACTGTCTCACAAATCATGGCACAGATTCTTGACCTTCGTAGCTCCAATCATGGAACTATTGAAGGTGAGAAGCACTCAAACCAATTCAGATTTTAACAGAGTGAAAGTGATTTATTGCTGTCTAGGGCACAAAGATGTAGCAGTCGTAGAGTGCAGTAATTGCTTAGAGGAAATGTAAAACCATGGATGCAAAGGAACCAACCCGCCTTGTACATACACGTGTGCAATGCCAGTTGCACTTGTTTCCTCCAAGCGATATTATTCCATTTTTTACGAAATGGTGGAAAGTGCAGTGACCAAGGAATGGGAGTCAAGCAGGCAGAAATTCAAAATACTGCTACACTCTGGTCCTCTGCTAAGAAGAGGGAGGTTTTTTTTGGCATGAGGAGACATGGACATTGCCACCTCACAGCCTCAAGTTGTCCAGTTCCTTTTAAGGAACAGTTAATCAAAGTCTTTCCCCTTTCTTCCTCCTAAACAGCACTCAAAGCCATTACCAATAATCAGCTACATGAAACATGATTGATTCCCATTTGGAGGAAGCCAGATGAGTTTCTTGTATCAAATGTGGGAAATTAGTCTGTGTGTGTAAAATCCTCTCTGTAGGAAATGACTGACAGCCTAAAGTGATACAGCTGCAAAACATAAACACAGCAGTGCTTTTAGTGAGAGCACTTTAGATAACTGTTATTAATGTCCCTTCCAAGATGTCACTTAGAAAACCACAATCAATTACTATAGTTATAGCAATACTATATATAGCAATTGTATGCAAGTGATGGAGATGCTGGAAACCAGCTATTATTGCTTAGACAGAGTAAAATTCTCCTTGTTAACGCTCATGTTATGACCACAAACACACCTGCATTTTTAAAAGATTGATGATAAGTAGCATTTAAATCCTACCCTCCTAGCAAGGTCAATCACTGGCATCTCTTTGTAAATCACTTCCCAGTTTAAAACATCATTTCTTTCCTGGGCCAAAGTACTCTCTACATGTGTCTTCTAATTCAGAACTAGAGGGAAGTCAGTTGGACAAGCAAGGAAAATGGGAGAGTGCCTGGGGAGGAGGCACTGGGGGAGAGTGGACATGAGCCCTGGCTGAGCCTCAGGAGGCAGTGCTGGGATGGCACCAGCAGCTCAGGAGAGCCTCAGGCTGCTCTGGCACAGCAGCTGAGCTGGGAGGTGAACAGCCAGGGCTACAGTCAACTAATTATAGTTATAATGCCAGTGTGTATCCTCATCATGTGGGTAAGGGAGGACAAGAGGCACAAATTTAAGCTGTGGAAGAAACCTTCAGCTCTCAAAAGCTGAAATTACTTTTCAGCATTTAAATATACTTCCCTAATAATACTGGTTTAGTGCTCTTATGTGGTATTTATGTTGTCTGAATTGCTAAGGGCTCACTTCCCATGAGGAACACGGGAATTAAAACTGAATTAACTTTCCAGTGATGGGTTTGGATTACTGTGAGCTTGTGGGATCTGAGGTACTTGCAGGCAAGCTTGATGCTTTGTTTTATTTTTTTCCCCATCTTCAATTATTGCAGTGCTCTCCAGGCAAAAAAAGTTGGCCTTCCTGAGCAGTAGCAGAGTTGTAAAGCCAAACTCCCCTGTGTTATCAGTGGTATCCGTTGTCCTAAAGGAAACCTGATATTTGGATCTGATTAATTTTGTTTAAATACAAGTTAATTAAGGAAAGCAAAAAAAAATTATTTTTCAGAGTATCCTTGAGGTACAGGGAGCAGGTAGAGCACTGAAAGGATTTTCCTTGGGATACAGCAGTGTAGGCCATCTGGGGGGAGAACCACAGCAATTCAGGTCTTACTGGAATAAACCTGTATATAGGCAGAGAAAGTGGTGGGAACCACACAGGGTGGGGGGATGTCCCAGGGCCATGAAACTTCAGGGCCCCAGAGGAGTGAAGGACAAGCAGAAAGAAGCGCTGCTTACATCAAGAAGCATCACAAGATCCCCTGTGCGTGTGCAACAGATCAACAAGTGGTTGTGGAGGAGATGTGAATTCCATGGTGTCTTCCCAGTATCCTTGAGTGTGCTTGTGGGCTGGGGTACACTCACTGAATGATAGTGCTGAGGAAAGGATGTGGATTACAGTTGGGTTTGGTCTGTGCTCCAGGTGTGCAGAGAGGGAGAGAAAGCCTCTTTGTTTCATCCTCTGATTGAAGCATCAGACATAATGAGGGTGTAAACTAAGGAAACGAGAATCTGGCTTGACAGAAAAGACTCCCATGAACAATTTATGAAGAAGTTTGAGCTGATATTTTGGCTTTAGGCCTAAACAATCAAATTGACATTTCCATGTGTGGTAGCCACCTGAATACTGATGGATGGATTTCCATCTGACTTCTCTAGTCAATTTTCAATAAGCAGGCCTAATATTTCCTCCAAGGCTATTCGTAGTTTAAAGCTGCTTAAAGTAGTTTCTGAAGAATGGAGAATGCTTTGGGGGGAAAGGCAGTTCTGCTGTTCCTTGAGCAGAATTAAAATTCACATTTTGCTAACCCAGAGACTACAGCAGTCCGGATCTGCTTTTCTAGAGCCTATCCACAAATGGAAGTTTCTATCTAAAGTCTCTATTTTTAATTTTTCCTCATTCAGCTCATTCTGAAATGGCACTCCAGTTTCTGAAGAAGAGCCTATGTACACAAAGCTAAGCAGTCAGCTAGCTTTAAATGCATAATTCCTCATTCAATTTCTTAATTCCTCATTAGCTTGCATGTGCAAACTCAGAGCCTAATCCAACTCCCACTGGCATCAGTGAGAATGGGTTTTACCTCTCAGATTTAGCCATCTAAAAACCAGGCATGTATTCTAAATGCAACTGTGGCGAAGCCACTTGTAGTGAAAATAGAGAAATATCAGCATTTCCAGGATATGATTCATAGCGTCTTCCTTAAGGGTTGTATTGAGAGGGGACAAGTGTATTTCCAGCAGCCGCTATCTTTTTCCCCTGCTTGTAAAGGGAGCCTGTACAACTAACCTGGAAGCCTCCTTACTCTGCTAAATGAAGCCAGGGAAAGAAATCTTTCTGTTTATTTCAGTGGATAAGGATTCTGACTTTCAGTTTTCCACATCCTTTATGCCAAGATAAATTACAAATGAGTAAGCAAGGTCCCAGAGGTCATCCCAAGCTGCATCTCATGGACTGTTAACTCTGGCTTCAGTTAGCATTTGGGATGTATTGAAAAGACATGTGAACTTCTGAAACAAAATTAAACTTTTTGTTAATTGCTGTTCCTTGCATCACACTGGACTCCCTGACAGGGAGCACAATTAGATGGAAATCTCAAAGCAATGGCAGAAGCTTTTTGTCTGTCTCCTCTAAAGACACTCACAGTGGGATATGTGAAATGTCAGGAATAATTAGACAAAACTATATAAGCTCCTAGCAACACTGATGTGCTGTGAAAAACCAAGCATTTGCCATAAAGCTTTAAACATTGCTGAAAACCTGCATGATAAAAGTAACCTGAATAATTTTTAAGTACCGTTCCTAATATATTAATACAGACATGGATATGAAAAAGCAGAATAGAAAGGTATGAAATGCTGGCAGGTCTTTACTCAGGTAGGCTGCTCTGCTGCTTTTTTTCCAAAGGTGATATATAAAAGTAATTGATGCTGCTCATACAGCAATTAAAGTGAAGAGGCAAATTCCCTCAGCTCTTCATCGACTGGAGTGTATTTTAACAAGCAGGAAAAGGGCTAGCTCCTGGTATCAGTATCGCAAAGATCACAGTCATGTTTGTGAAAAGGGACCTGTGGAGGTATCTTAGTCCAGCCTCCTACTTAAAGTAAAATCTCCAAAATGAAGAAGGAATAGCCATTTCACATCAGCAGGAAATCTGGCCCAAATTGCCCTTTAGAGAAGAAAAAAAAAATGAATTATGAATGCAGAGAAAAAGCAAGAGAAGAGAAAGGAAAACAGACCAAAATTTTATTTGAGATGACAATATTAGAAATGCAAAACTTTTTTACCAAAAGGTGGAATTATCCTAGATTGACTGACAGATGTGTTTTTATCTTCTAGGAAAACAATGAACAATTAATTTCTTCTTTCCAGGAAGAAACCTGGAAGCTTTTTTGCTGCTCCGTTGAATATGGGATTATAAAAAAGTTTTTTAAAATTGCACATAGAGCATCTCTTTCAAATGGATAACTTCTGAACCTGGAACTCTTCATTACCAACTTCTTGCATCCTGGAGGAGAAAATGAATTTCACAAATTGTACCACTGAAGCCAGTGAGGCTGCAAAGCCAAAGACAGTAACTGAAAAGATGCTCGTTACCCTGACCTTGGCCACAATCACAACCTTGACTATGCTGCTGAATTCTGCTGTAATTGCAGCAATCTCCACAACCAAGAAGCTCCACCAGCCGGCAAATTATCTCATATGTTCACTGGCTGTGACAGATCTCCTTGTTGCTGTTCTCGTCATGCCCTTGAGCATCACTTACATAATGATGGATAAATGGACTCTGGGGTACTTCATCTGTGAGATCTGGCTCAGCGTCGACATGACCTGCTGCACGTGCTCAATCCTTCATCTGTGCGTCATCGCGCTGGACAGGTACTGGGCCATCACAGACGCCATCGAGTACGCCAGGAAGAGAACGGCAAAAAGGGCCGGGCTGATGATAGTCACCGTGTGGACCATCTCCGTTTTCATATCAATGCCCCCCCTGTTTTGGAGAAACCACCACAGCGTCAGTATTCCCAGCGAGTGCCGCATTCAGCATGACCACGTCATCTACACTATTTATTCCACATTCGGGGCATTTTACATCCCCTTGACTTTGATCCTGATCCTGTACTACAGAATTTACCACGCTGCAAAGAGCCTTTACCAGAAGCGGGGTTCAAGCCGCCACCTCAGCAACAGGAGCACCGACAGCCAGAACTCTTTTGCCAGCTGCAAGCTCACACAGACATTCTGCGTCTCGGACTTCTCCACATCTGACCCAACCACAGAGTTTGATAAAATCAACGCATCCGTGAGGATCCCTCCTTTTGAGAATGACTTGGACCCGGCTGGAGACCGGCAGCAGATCTCCACGACACGAGAACGAAAGGCTGCTCGCATCTTGGGGCTGATTTTAGGTGCTTTCATTTTGTCCTGGTTGCCCTTTTTCATCAAGGAGCTGCTTGTGGGCCTCCACATTTGCACTGTCTCTCCAGAAGTAGCAGACTTCTTGACCTGGCTTGGGTATGTCAACTCGCTCATCAACCCTTTGCTGTACACGAGCTTTAACGAGGATTTCAAGCTGGCCTTTAGAAAGCTCATCAGGTGTTGAGAACATACTTAAAAGTACTGAGAGATGATGATGCTAGCATGACTCCTGGCCTTAAAAATTATTTGACTCTGCCACTGTTTCCCTTGATAAAGGGGATTTTTGTGTTTGCCTATCTTCTTGACTGTTCTTCAGCCTGTAATTCATTATGCCATTTTTTAATCTCTAGTGAAATTCGTAGTAAAAGGTTTGAAAAAAATTTATTCTACAAAGGAAAAGATTTTTTAGAAATGCAACAACAAAAAATATCACTAGTATTAGGTACTCATGTCTCTAAGACATTTTGTGTAATCAATGATTCAAGAAGAAAACAACAAAATTCACTTTTATACTTTTTCCATTTAAGAATCAAACATCGAAATTATGTACTGTATGAACTAAACCCCATAAACACATATTCAAAAATTAATAAACACTTCATGATCATGACAGTTAAACAGCATCTCTTTACTACGGCGTTGTGAAAAAGCTGTAACATCCATTTAGGAGGAAAATTACCACCATTTCCACCTTGGGTTGAGGAGAGTAAACGATTCCTTTTTTCAGAAATACACTCCCAAAACAGAAAGCAAAGTTCAGATCATTGCATCTAGAAATGATCCCATTTCATAACCCAAAGGCATTTTTTAAAGTGTCTCTCTTTGTGTAATATTCCAGATTTACATTCAAGGTATTGGGCAGACAGCTGTGAGATTGTTTGGCAATTGAGAGGATGCAGCTAGCAAGTGTCATACTTGTGAAACTAACTGCACATCTGAGCAGTCACACTTCCAATACCACTAACCCTATTTCTTCAGGCCTTGTGCCTCAGTCAGTTCTGGGGTGGTATTTTTCACTTGTGCCACACTTCACCTGAATGTTGTGGTGCACAACCCCAAGGATCTATGGATTCTTACCCCTACCAACTCAGACAACTGGATATCTTCTCAGCAGGCCAGCTATACACAGAAATTCAAAAACATCAGTTAAACGTAATTATTTCTGAATATCAGGAAAAAAAATTCAGTAAAAGAATTTATTTTAAATAGCAGTCTGCACAAATGCCTTGTTCTCATCTCAGAATTTCCAATGGCCATCTTGCCAACCTAACCTATGGTCAGGTGCTCTGGTAGGATTTCTTGCTCTGGGTGTCCTTCACAGACCTACTTCCCTTGTCCTGAGAGACAAAATGTCCTTTGTATCCTATCTTTTCTGTTTATGGAATTTAAAATTTTCTGATTCAAATATTGTGGAAATCAGTCTGGGAAGAGGCAAAATCAAAGCTGAGAATTTTGTATTGTCCATTTGAAATTCCTAAGCATGATTTAAATATTTATTACCACCTTGCACCCTTTTCTTCCCTGTCTATTTTTCTGGACAAATTCTTTTTGAATTACACCAATACACAACAAAGGCAACACCACATATGTCAACCTGACATCCAATAACTGTGAAAACTATAGTATGGTGGCTCCAAATCCATCAAAACAAATACTAGAGGTAGCAAAAGTGTTGTAACAGCACTGGAAGCCATCTCTGAAAAGTGTTTTGGAAATTTACAAGATGACAATCATTTTTCTTATCAAGAGTCAAGGAAGTGTAAGTAATATGTGGGTAATAAACTGCAAATGGAACTGGGAAATGACATCCTTATTGGTGAGAGAAAGCATTTGGCTGGAAAGATGCAGTGCCACAAGCTGAGTGTAAACCAAGTCTGAAGGTGACAAAAGGGTGACCTGCTGCTTACCCACATGCAGTGGGACTCTTCTTCCAGGACTCCCTGCCTGAGTTTGAGGTCCAACACCAGCTGTCCTTCTGAAGCTACTCTTGCAGTTGCCTCCTTTGGATGCCCTACTAGCAAACACTAATACCTAAAAAGAGAGGAAAATTATCTCAGCCACTAAAAATTTCTTTCAGTGAGGAAGCACAGACATCCGTAATGGTTTTTCCTTTTTGCAACTTGTTGGAGGTGGAAATTGTTGATTGGAACCAGGGAAGTGTGTCCTGACCCTGCCTATCAACAAAGCTTCCAAAGCAGTTCCCCAGGGTTGATATGCTACTAAGAAAAAAGAAAAAAAAAAAAAAAAACGAAACAAAAACAAACAAAAAAACACCCTGGAAATAAAAATAAAAATGTGATATTTGTAAGAAGTGCTGCAGCATTTTTTTTTTTTTGCTTTCAGAAAGAAAAACAGAATTTATTATTAAAGAACAAAGATTCAGCACAATTTCTGAAATGGCAGAGAAAACAGGACATACAAGCAGTTATGGCTAGAAGAGAGTAGATTTTGGTGTCCCTTGGGTGCACAAGGGTGCCCAGCTGCTGTGATGACCAGAAATGGAAGAGTGAAAGTGCAAGACTGCCCCAGCAGACTGTCTGAGCCACCCCAAGGAGCTCAGCTGAGACAGAAGCTGCACCCAGCCAGGTTCTTTGGGGCTGTCTCTGGCTCAGCTGTGGGGTGGGTGGGCTGCAGAGGGCTCTTTGCTAGGAGAAGGAAAGGGGTGGGAGTGACAGTGCTGGTGTTTCAGAGGGGAAAACCAACAAAATGAGAGATGGTTCCAGCTCTGACTGCTGCTCCTAAGGGCACACAGAATAATTTAGCTCAGATGGGACCTTTGGAGGCCAGCTAGTCCAAGCCCCCTACAAACAGCAAACCTCAAAGTGGGACCAGCCTCACAGCTCAGCACTGCTCTGACATGCTGTGTGCAGTCAGTTTTCTCCTGGAAAAACAGTCAACTCTGTTGCCAAGACTGACACTCATTCCAGCCCTAAGTGTGACTGAAGGGCTGGAAATGCTGGCTGTGACCTCCACAGCAGCTGCCATAGGCAGGTAGCAGTGCTTCAGAAACAGGGGTGAAAGCTGTAATACACAGGAGCTGCATCATCTTTATTTCTACTAAAGGATTCCTTTCAGTATGTGAACACTGTTATTACCACTCCAACTACCAATCAGGTTGAAGGCTGTATTCAATTTTAATATTTAGAGGTAATTAACAGGAAAAAACAGATGGATGGCTAATTTCCGTGCTTTCCTGTTAAATAAAGACTCACCATTCACTGCCAGCTGACTACTGATTTTCTAATTAAGTCATTAGCTAAACACAGAGAATGTTTTCCAACAAATGCCACTAGATTGATGAAGATGTATGTTTTCCCCATGATCAGAATCAAAGCCAGGAACAATATAAAGGATTGGCTACTCAACTTGACCAGAAATTACCAGTCTTCTCATGAAAATGAAAACTTTTGCTAGTCTGACACCACTGTTTGACAACATCTTTTCTTTTCTTTTTCTGTTGAGTTTTTGCTGCTTTTACAATGGGTTTGGAGACATTTTTTGACCTGTCCATGGCAATTCCCCATTCACACCTATCCTGGATCCGGCCCACCCACTCCGTGTTGTGCAATAGAAGGTCTTCCCAACAAGCTCTTAGTGATGTATTCAAGACCAACAGACTACCTCCATCTTCATCAACCTCTCTAAACCATCCTGCAACCTCAAAGCCTTATTTTCTCTAATGGTGCCCTTGCAAAGGTGTCTTGCTGTACAACCCTCACTTCCTGCCTGTCCTGTCTTTGGGTTTCTGCCTCTGTCTAACCCCTAAATTTATTGTGGTCCTACTAGAGTAAGCCCCTGTTCTCCCCCCCTCTCTCTGCAGTTATCAGAATTCCCATGACTGTGGCTGTTCAAGTCTGCAAGATTTTACTGTCTTACATGTATCCAGGCCATTTCCAGGAGATTTTTACTCTCTGTAAGCAGCCAGTGCTTTGGAGTGAGTTCATACATCCCTGAAGACTGCATCAATCAACAAGTTGTCCTCTCCAAAACACAGACTCCTAAAATGCTATTTTACCTATTTTTTAATCTTGTTGTCTTTCTTCTGTAACCTATCTTTTTGCTCCCTTTCTTCCACATTAAAATTGACCCTTGTATTGTTCTTATGTGGACCATTATCTTTGCTTTTAGGGACCTGCCCCTGCACAGGTTACTCCAGTTTCACTCAGCTCCTACTCTTCCACCTGTGCCAACCACAACTCTCTTCTCTGCAAGCTTTGTCCTCACCACTTCTATGATCTTTCCACATCTCTCCTGTTCCTTGCAGCTAATGGGTTTTCTCCCTTCTCAAAACCATTTCTGATATGGTAAAACTCCTGAAAGAAAAGCAGTGTGTGTGTGTGTGTGTGTGTGTGTATTGCCTGTCTTTTTATCCCCACCTTTCCCATACAGATCACATCCTCTTCTGAGGTGAGCTGTCTCTCTGAAGCGCACAGCATACACAGAGACAGCAAAAACACATTGAGAGTTGCATGTCCTGAGCCACTTTGATTTGGCACATGCACAGTACTTTAAAGTTGTGGGTTCCTCACCACAATGATGTTCCAAGTTGTTCCAAGATAATTTGGTTTATCCAAGACAAGACATTAAAAGAATAAAGGAATCTTTTTTAAGGACTCTATTTCCACTCCTGTGTTTTGAATTCCAGTTATCAAAAAGTAAAGAGCATTAGAGTGTGGAGGGGAAATATAAGCTTCCATCCTAAGTGCAGAGATAGTCCTTGTGCCTGGGTATTTTTTAACTATTGCAAATATCAATAAGAGACAAGCTGGTTTATGTTAATCCTTTACACAGCCAAATGATTTCTATGAAGAATTATCTCAAATTGCTTTATTGCTTAAGTAGGCATAGTAAATCTTGTGATATCTTTTATTGTTCAAGTAGTATTTCATAAGAGTCGTGCACAATATATAGTCACCCTTTCTAATTACTGTTTTTCACTTGGGGCCAATTTTTTTTTTTTTTTTATTATCTGACTTTGGATAAATTCCAGCTTCATCAGCTGTAAAATTATTCTTCAGCATTCTCAATTTTACTCCATGTACATTTGCAAATATTGCTCCCTTCCTCTCTTATACTGCCAGGGGATCTTTACTTCTTCGTTAATCCCATGCAGGTGATCACCTATGGATGATGTTATATGATTAAATTACTCCTTCCTACTCAGCTAATTTCTATGCTTCTATGAATCAGTGCTTAAATATAAATTTTTGATGCTGCTGCTGTGAGTAGAAGATGTA